GGGTTGCGCCCCCCCCCTGTAAAAACCAAAAAAAAAACACAAACTCCCCCCCCCCGGTCTCCAAAAAAAAAAAAAAAAAAAAAAAAAAAAAGAGCAGTTGCGCAAAAGGAAAATCCCCCTCTGTCTGCGGAGCGCTCGGAAACAACTTGGTGTACACAATGTTTCAGGTCAGGAAGCCCTCCGTCTGGCTTTCGCTGGATTTTTCGCCTCTATTCTGAGCTGGGCGCGAGGCGACCTGAACGCGCACGTTCGATCGTCACTGCGCGTTCACGGTGGTGAGAAAGATTTTCTCGCGAGAAAGTGCGCGCTATTGGGTAACTAGGGGATATCCCCTGGGGCGGGAATCTCCCTCTGTCAATAGTTCGGCATTTTTACTTGAATAGCCTCTGATAAGAATAAAACATGCCAGAATGAGGCATACTTTGAAAATGTATCTAAATTACAACCAAACTTGGTTACTAAATGGTTTAAATGAAGAAAAAAAAATCTTGTACAACTGTTTTAAACCCCCTAATTTGGACTAAACATTGTCTTACCTGGAGCATTTTTCACAGATTCACATGCTATAACCAAGACCTGTGTAGTTTATTGTGATTGTATGTAGTAATACACAACTAATTATTGTTATTTGTATAATTATTATTGTTAGTAGTAGCAGTAGTAGTTGCTGCTGTTGTTGTAGTACCCCGGGTACTCCAGCTTTCCCATAGTCTAAAAACAACTGATCTCTCTAAATTGCCTTTAGGCGTTTGTGTGTGCATGATTGTTTGTCCTGTGTGCTGAGCCCTGTAATGGACTGGTGACTTGTCCAGTGTGTATTCCACCTCTTTCCTCGTGACCATTGAAGATTAGCACCAGCCATTCTGTAACTGTGAAAGGGGAACCTGGTACAGATAGATTGTTGTCGTTCAATCACCCAGCAAGGTCCCAATGAGACACAGCATCTCTTTCTCCAGGGAATCCTGGTCAAGGTCACTGCACAATTTCAAAAACAACATCAGTAAAGCTAAAAAGAAATAATAAGAGAAAAACGTTATGCCCCAAAACAGACTCACGCCAACATAATTCATCACCAAGAAAATGCTGGATGGAATATATCATGTCTCTTTCAAGCAATGAAGAGACAAAAATATGAAGAGAAGGAATTGTCTCTTAACATATAAACATATCTTACAGAAGTGGAGCAAAATAGAGAAATGCACTCTTACCAAATTCTGTTTTAATTCAGGGATCTTCAACCATATTTTTTAACTGGACCTGGTATTATAAATACTAATACGAAATGACAAAATGCTTGAAACAAAAGTATGGGAATTACCTCAGTAAGCTATTCCAGTACAAAAACATGCATTTTCCTCCTATAGTTTAAAGATATTTATCCAAATATTTATCCAAGATGCAACAGCAGGTCAAATTGCATCAATCTGTTCCATATGCATGGCAGCATAATAAGTCCAGTCTTCTCAATAGGGAGGAAAAAACATTCATATAAATAAAATGACTTTATTCAGCCCCTCTACAATTACATATGTACAACTTTTGTCTTTTCCCCACCAGCTTTGTATATCTACAGACCAACTTTTTAAACCATCCTGTAGAAAATGGCTCAATCTCGGTCAGACTGGAGGAAGAGCAACAGCGTTGAAGAGTTTTCAAGTTTTGCTTGATTATCAATTTGATCATGGTCTTAATTTGAACTGGACTATTTTAATGCTTGAACGATGCTTCGATCTATGTCCATGTTTTAAACGACTGTAAGACAACATTTGGTAACACTTTATTTGAAGGGGAGTGAATAAG